GCCGAGCCTTTCCTACCGAGAGCTCAAAGACTTGAAGAAGGCCAACGTGCTCCACATAGACGTGCGGGAGAGGTGGGAGATCGACAGATTTGGAAAAATCCCAGCGTCCGTCAATATACCGCGTAAGTCATTAACACTGCGCGTGGAGGCCTTGGGTGTCCCCCGGTGCTTGGTCTTAGAAGTTTGAGTTGGAAGAGACCTTAAAGATTTTGTCATTCCAACCTCTGCCATGGGCAGGGAAATCTTTCATTAGATCGGGTTGCTTAAAGCCACATCCAGCCGGGCCTTGAGCACTTCCAAGGCAGGGGTGTCCACCACCTCTCTGGGCAACCTGTGCCCAGGTAGTGTTTCACTACCCTCATAGTAAAGAACATCTGCCTAAAGTCTACTCTAAATCTACTCTGCTCTAGTTTAAAACCGTTGCCCCTCATCCTGTTGTTACATGCCCTTGTGAACAGTCCCTCCCCTTCTTTCCTGTAGCCCATTTTAAGTGCTGGAAGGCCACTATAAGGTCTCCCCAGAGCCTTCTCTTCTCTAGGCTGAACAGCCCCAACTCTCTCAGCCTGTCCTTGTAGGAGAAGTGCTCCAGCTCTCTGATCATTTTTGTGGCCCTCCTCTGGACCCACTCCAACAGGTTCACATCTTTATTGTGTTGAGGGCTCCAGAACTGCACACAGCACTCCAGGTGAGGTCTCACGAGAGCAGAGTAGAGGGGCAGGATCACCTCTCTCAATGTGCTGGCCACGCTTCTTTTGATGCAGCCCAGAATGTGATTGGCCTTCGGGGCTGTGAGCACACATTGTTGGCTCGTGTCCAGCTTTTTGTCCACCAACATCCCCAAGTCCTTTTCCACAGGGCTGCTCTCTATCACGTCATCCCCCAGCCTGTACTGATAGTGAGGATTGCCCCTACCCAGGTGCAGGCCCTGGCACTTGGCCTTTTTGAATCTCATGAGGTTCACATGGGCCTACTTGTCCAAGTCCCTCTAGAGGACGTTAATGGTGAAGTCTGTGGACAAGTGGCGGTGCTGGAGTGTAGAGGAGCTGCTAGTAGGCTAAACATTTCCTCTAGAGGAATTAGAAGCCTTACAGTATAAGCCTGTCTCTAGGTGGAGAATAAATGATGCTTCTTTTTCTGTATTTCCCAGTTGGTGAATTAGTGGAAGCTCTACAGATGGATCCAATAGAGTTCAAGGAGCAGTACAACCAAGAGATGCCATCCAAGTGGTCTTCTCCTGTTTGGCAGGAACAAGAAGTAAACAAGCACTCGGTTTTGCCACGTCCTTGGGTTTCAGCAGGTATGACTTGTAAGGATGGGATTAATGTGGCTTCCTCCTGTGAAGCAGAACTCGTCCTCAGCTATCTTGTGGGCAAGCATAAAAAGTTAAATGTGGAATATGAACAAAATGACTGTTATTTGAGTTAGACACCTCCTCATCTCTGGTGAACCTTGGAAGACACGATTGGGTGTTCCAGCAGTGAGGTGTATTGCCCTGTGAAACAACACCTCAGCAGCACTGCGCATGTGCCGTGATCTGCTGCAAGCCCAGGCTGCCACTGAAGAGTCTTTCTGCCTCTTAGGCTCCCTCTACAAAACGTTTCTTCCTTACGTTGCTTGGTAAGACTAGTCCTGAGATGCCTGATGATTGGAAGGAAAGGTGGAGAACTGCTCAGCTGGGTAAAAGTACAATCTTAAATAGTTTATAAAACCACGCCCTTTGTTAAATTGCAGTTCTACCTGTATGGTTTACTCTTGAGAAAGTACACCTTCACTTCTGGTAAAGCACTGTATTTTTTGCCAGGAGTAAAGCAGTGAATGCAATAGCAAAAAAGACAATGAGATTGATAGAGTGAAAGAAAAAGCAGCGTTTGATTAGCAGAATTATTACACCCATTCCAGAAGACGCCTCACTGGCTCGAAGACTGCAGATAGAATTGGTTGTTTGCTCATGTTTTTGCTGCACTGCAATTCATGAACTGGGATACTCCTGCTAATTCTCATCAAAACTATGGAACCACATTCTGGTTTTATTAATACATTGTTTTAATAAGTGCAAAATATCCTCCATTACCTGTTTTTCTTGCTGCCTAATTGAAGGAGTGTGCATGATTTTGCATGGCAGGTTTTTGTTTTCCTGAGTTTAGTTTTGTGCAGGTTTAGGTCAGACCTGTAGAGCATGTAGGTTTAGAAGGAAGTAAAGATCAGTGTACTGCATTTTTTTGATGTCTGAAGTATTAGACATAATAACATGTAAATCTCCCACCTCTGTGAGTCCGTTCTTTTTTAAAAAAGTGTCAAACTGTTTGACTGATGCAGCTGCTACAGCTTGCTTTATGTTCCATCTCCAGCATTGTGTCATTTGGAAGAAACGAGTTACAGAACATACTGCATGGCAGCAGGCAGTGTTAGAGTACAAGGAATGGCAATCTGGTTCACTGAAGCTAGGTATGAGTGTATTTGACTGCAGAGAAACTCTGTATGTTTTTTTCTTTCTGATTTTTTTTTAAATTGGTTTGGTTTGGCTGGGTTTTTTTGCCATGTCTTCTTAAATACCTTTTTCAGGAAGAGTCCTTCTTAACATTGTATCTTACGCATATTTTCAGAGTTCAGCAATATGCTGGTGGCTTTGAAGACTGGGTAAAACATGAACCTCCAGAGAAAAAATGAAGATAACTAACCGCAACCCTTGCCTCATCAAGGCTTCAGGATGGTTTGTAGGTTTTAGCATTCAAGCTGCATGCATTCCACTCCCAGAATACAGCCCATTCCTGTTTTTCTTGTGTAAATGGATATTCACCTTCAAACAGCCTCGTGTATCAACGGCTTGGATTCAATTATATCCAGAGACCACGATGTGAACAGAGGACATTAAATTTTTTCACCCTTTACTTCAGGCTGTGCTTTTTGGGGAAAGTATGTGAAGAGAACCACAGTGCTTATTATGTTTACCAAGATTTTTGTATGATGTAGTTTATGACTGGTTAATCTACTGATGATAGGACTAATAAAATTAGCCTTTTCCAAACAATTCTTTTGGGTAGTTTGTTTAGAATAGTTAAACCGCAGATATTCTAATGGAGGTGGGGTAAATGCCCCAAACACTGTTTGTTATGCTTGATGTGCAGCTGGGTTTTTTTAAAACAGTTGCTATGTTATTAAAGAGTACAAGTACAAGTAGAGTACAGATGTTTACATTTGTACTGTGTAAGGCCAAAGCTTTGCTACCGGTCAGAAAATACAAAGGGAAACTGACCTGATGCTAGAATACTCACTGTTCAAAATGTTGTGCGATTTCCTCTTTTAAAAGTATATCCATTTTTATATGCAGATCTGCTTCTGAGCACAAAATGCTATAGCATTCCTGTTCACTCAGCAGCTCATTATCAAGTGAGAACTTGCCTATATTTGAAGTTAGTATTACAGAAGTGTTGAGGTGTCCAAGGAAGTTACTGAACTCCCTTCTCCTATGTACGCTGATTTGCCTATCTTAAACATTAAAAAACAAACCAACCCATCTATCTCCACCTATAAATTTGCACAGTCATTATTTTAAGTGGTTTTGTTTGTTTGTTTTTTAATGCTCTTACCAGTTCAGAGGAACTAGCAAAGGTGAATTGCTTTAGCCTCTAGAAAATTCCACATCCTAGTACAGAAGTTCAGGACTCTGTGGGATGTCTGGAAAAAGGAATTACAATTTCTGGTTCTGCTCTAACCAGTATTGTAAGCAGTGTGCACTTACCCTATAGCTCTTCGATTATGATGGTGCAGCCTACACCTTCTCAGTGTTAGAGAACAGAAAGTAACTAATCTTACTAGAATTTTCTTTCTAGTCAGTCCTGCGGTCTCTCTGCAGTCCTTTGTTTCTAAAGAACTTCAGCTGGCACAGCCAGCTGTGCTGTCCCAAGGGTGCATCTCACAGGGTGTTCTGTTCTCTCATCTTTGCTAATAATTAGTTCATAGTGTAGTTGTCATAATGGTAACAAGCGCATTTTTCTTCAAAGTATCATTGATTTTTTTTTTTAGTGGTCTTATTGCTATACTTCGTTTCCAATCCTTAAAAGGACCCCAAACAACTTAAGAACCAGAATTTAGACTCATTTCCAAAATACAGGTTTAGTTTATCTGATGAATTAATGCGAGTGAAGTTGAAATTGAAATGCTAGGGTGAGTATGGGTGTTGCTTTGCTGTGTTCAATTACTCTGTAGATCTCACTGTCTTACTCTCAAAACGTCTCTTTCAGGCTGGATCAGGAAGACTAACAGGTGCTTGTGATGACATACCTCAATTTCACATATTTCTGTCCTTTGAAAATAAGCACAGTAAAGATGATTTTTTTTCTGTGTGGTTGGTAGCAAAGCTGGTGGAATTCACATCATGTTCCATTTCCTCTCATTCCTTGTTTTTATAGCTGTCATCACTGAATCCAGCTCCCTTGACTGCACCTTATTGCCTTTCACTGTTGATGCTGGAGTCGGAGCTGGTACAACTATCCTCAGCTCCCCAGCAGTGCCTGCTATTTTAGATCTGAGGTTTAGGTCACACAGGTGATTTAGGTATGAAGTGAAGTCTGCAAAGTCTCTTAAGCAGCAAGAAAACTTTTAATCACTCCAGCCATAATTCTTCATTAATCATGTGAATTCTCTAATTTCAAAACATTCGCTTTCTTAGCAGATTATGTTGTACCCGTGAGGAAAAATGTTTACCTGAAGAACAGTTCCTGTTTAAGAACTCCACACAGTGATCAAGTTGCATTGATTTATTTCTACTCCCCAAGTCCACATTACAAATAGCACGTTTTAGACTTAAAGAAACAAAGGCAAATGGCCAAATTCCACTTCATGAATCAAGTGTCTATAAACAGTACGGACCAAATGTCAACAAAAGTAGGAAAACCCAAAATGTATGTATTTGCCATCTCACTAAAGTGGTTTGGGCTTGTTTACCTAATTTTTATGAAAATAACCTGAAGAGAAATAAATGCCAGTAGCCTAATGGGCTACATAAAAACACACCTCACTAGGTGACCAGCCAATTACAAAGGCAAGTATTTCAAAAACAGTTTGGATTTTTTGAAAGGGGCCAGTTTTTTGAAACAAGATACGTCTCAGAGCAGGGGTTTTCAAGAATTTCCCTGCAATATTTCAGACCAGTGAAATGTGTTGCTTCAAGAAAAAAAATATGAAGAAAAATGGTACTGCATTCAATTATCATTCAATTTTTATGCTTGGGCAAGTCAGCATCCTCTTTCAAAATCAAGTTGTACAGAACTTAATTAGAAACAAAGCTAACTAAAAATCAAGAAATTGGATTTAGGCCAATTCCTGACTTCAGTGGGATATCTGCCTGAGTAAGGAACACAGGATATGGCCTTCTCTTTGAAGGAATCTCATTTTCTCCAGCACATAGATAACCAAGGAATCCCATTTCAGTTATTCTAAAGAGTTGCTCCTAGCATCACAATTAAAATTAGCCAGTACGAAGCTCACCAAAAGCTTGATCCTCTTAAATAAACTCTCTAATGAACCACACAAATTCACACTTAACAGTGAAGGCAGACTAACAGTGTACATCTTTTGTACAAAAAAAAAAAAAATCACCATAAAACCCAGCAATCGCAGCCAGATTTGTACTTGATTGTGAAATATTCCAACTGTGCTATAAGGTATGCTTACTTAGAAAAAAATCATAGTGTGTTGGGGGGTTTTAATTCCTAACACTTGAAATGTTTAAGAAAACTGCAGAATTGCTATACATATTGCACTTCTCTGGTAAGCTGGGTTACTATGCTTCATGGCAAAAACATCCAAGTATACACCTGCTGAGTAAAACAGCATTTTTCCAATCCAAAACCTAATTGAATTTCTTTCCTGCAGCTTTCATTAAAACTGTAACAATGTTCTTTGTAGGCTCTTCTAGGCTTTGTTTCTGAAGGACTGCTGTGTTACTTGTTACAGAATTCATATTTATTCTTTAAAAAAATCAACAAACTCAAGGTAATGAATAGATTTAACATACAATGCGCTATCTCCCTTCAGTCACAAACAAAATGAAGACAACACGAGTCATTAATACAGTTACACTTAGGCTTCAGGTTACTGTCACACTGTTCACTTCAATGGCAAGTTACAATTTTCTCAAAGCAAACAAAACCAATAATGAGCTATTCGTTTTGAGTGGATAGTGTTCATCTTTTGCAGCTTGGTTTAACATTTGATTCCTTACACTGAAAGACTTTAGTACGTTTGCTCCGGCGTCAGAGAAAATGATTGAGTTTTAGAGAAAAAGCTTTCAAAACGCTTGACACAAACAAGCTATTTATTTTTCAAGTTCATTGTCAAAGATGTCGCTAAAACCTTCTGTCCATTTCATGAACACAGGAAAGATCCCAGGATGTCTTGAGTCAAAGTGGTCCATAAAGAAATTCTTTGGAATGTTTTAAGATTGGCTATAACTAGAGTTCTGGCTACCATTTGGACCCTGTTCTCCTTCACTGTTTGGAACAAAAAAACAAAAACATGTCTTCAAAAAGAAGCATCGTATTACATTTCTGTCCTTTTTTTTAATTAAGGATACGGTATTTTGAAAGTAGTAAAAACCTTTTGAAGGGAAACAACATATACACAAATAGGTTCGGACACGGCTTGGTTCCATAAAAACCGCAAAGTTATTCTCAGCCTGCATAAATAACTTCAGTGTATTTATTTGAATAACAATTCCAATATATCCCCATGCAGCTGCCTGCTGAATCTCCTTCTGAAGACAACATTTCAAACTTCACATTACGTAAGCAGGAGCACAGGAATTTGCACGTGCAGATTCCCAACACTGATATTTAATCACAGTAATTAGCTGTGCCAGCAGCCAGGCCCAGTTCCAACAAATCTGGCCCAGCCACGGAGCCTCACGCTGCGGTTCCTTGCATCGGCTAAGCCACGCTGATCACATTCTAATCCGTAAAACAAGGAATGCTCTGCTGCTCACCAGCTCCTACACAATCAGACTGGCTGGAGCAGAAAGGTCTGTGCTGTAAAAAGGTACACTATACTTCAAATTAAACATTTGCTCGCTCTCAAGACAGTAGTCCAGACTTTCCATATGAAAAGGGTATTAAGGAAGTACCGTACCTGTTTGGAGGTGGTTTTGGTTTAGGCATTTTACTAAGGATAGTAGCCATCTCTTTCCTCTCATCAAAGTTCTTCCACTGCTCATATAGCTTCAGAATAACCCTGATTATTTCTAAAATCTGATTAGAAAGAAAAGATATCCTAAGGTCAGACAAAATAATGATTTTATCTTTGTCACAGTCAGTTTAAGTGTGTCATTCATTAAACATGCCCCAAACTGAAACTAAGCAGCACAATTCTCGTACTACAGACAGAGCTGTCTCATATTTAGTCTGGTCTCGCAATTATTCGCTTCTATAATTAATTTTTATATTTAATTGTGAATGGAAGCCTGAATAGAACACCTTCCCTCTCATTCAACTGTAAATACTACTCCTCCCCTGCAAGCTAAGTCGCTTTTTATTTATTTATTTGCAACTACTGCCATAGATTTAACTATGCTACTGGGAAAATATGGACACCTTGCAGCATGACTGCAGCTTGATGGCCATGGATTATCAATACAGTAACTGACAATTATCAGTGTTCCATATACATGAGAGGAACAGTGCAGGAAAAAAAAAAAAAAAGCCCCAAACCACAAAAACATTGGTCTCAATTATCTTCTTTCAAGAAATAGAGTGCCAAGGAGTGTCTAAATACTTCTTATTATATTATTCTTACTGTTAGTCTTATTATATTCTTGTATACACATAATAAGAATTCTTGAACTTTCATGCTTCGCTTCTGGAAGCATAAGCGCTCTCTACCAGTTGGGATATATTCTATGTAGTGCACCACAATTGCCTAAATTCCTATTAAATCTCCAGTACAATATGTTTGGTTCATAATTAATTTCATCATTCTCTAAATTAATAAACTTGTTTCACCTTTTTAATATAGGGACTTGGATTAAGTGCTAGAAAAATAAGTATCCTTGAAACAGAAGTCATAGTTGGCTAAGGGTATTACTGCAGAAAAATCAAGCTTAGATTGTGCCACTGGCATGAGAACCAAGACATGTAAACATTCAAACATGTTCAGTATCAAGCCTATGGTAACCTTATTGGTCAAATACAGGTTGGTTCTTCGATGCTGACAATTTATTATTCAGATTGGACGTTAGGAAGAAGTTCTTCCCCATGAGGGTGGTGAGACACTGGCACAGGTTGCCCCTGAGGTGGGGGAAGCCCCATCCCTGGAAGTTTTTAAGGCCAGGCTGGATGGGGCTCTGAGCAGCCTGATCTAGTGGGAGATGTCCCTGCCCATGGTGGGGGAATTTGAACTAGATGATCTTTAAGGTCCTTTCCAACCCTGACAATTCTATGATTCTATTATCACCCTGCCTTTACATGCATGACAGCATAACTCACAGAGCTCTTGATGCAGCACAGCATCCACACCGTGCTTAAATTTGGAAGATGAATCCCGGAATACAAATACAATGCCAGGATATCATCAGAGGGTAAGGGGCAATACTGAAGGCACAGAAGGCAATGGCAGGTCTCATCCATAACATAGTATTTAATTCCAGACACTCGGCTTCAAAAGAGATAGACTGAAAAATATGTGCAGAGTGAAAGCAGTGTGATAAGCAGTATGACTACTAGTTTGGCTTGCTTGCTGGAGCTAAACAAAGGTTAAAGAAGTCAGCCTAAAAAGTAAAAGCATGTAGTGAAGATGAAGAATGTTATTGGTATGAGAAAAACCGCACCTTGGAACATGACAGATTTATTAAGGGGATTAATTTGACAGAGATTTTGCAATAGCAGGGAACACATCTGAATTATCTTGTTATCCCCCCTAACATTGCATGAAGTCATGGTCCTGGTCATTCTGAAAGTGGCAGGAATGTTTTACACTCTGCTATTCTACGTACATTCATAGGGTGAAAATGAGAACAAGTATGCAGGCACAATGCTGAAAGGCAAGTCAGAACATCATATGCACTAGAATTTAAAAGTCAAACTCATGCTGGCAATCTTGAATGACTAAAGCCACTAGGAATCCTTCTTCTGGCAAACCCCACGAAGGATATTGGTTTTATATTACCACCTCAAAAACCACAACAGCAGCAACACTTTGCCGTTATCTTGACTTTCAGAGCAGAGGGAGAACCAAATGACCTGACATTGTCTCTCTCCCCAAGAGATCTACCCAATTTCAACAGCACCTAACATATTATCACTGAATGAAGTTCAAATCAGTACTGCAGACACGTAAGACTAGTTTTATAACCATGACTACCATTGCTGGTCAGTCCATAAAGGTGGCAGGAATTATAAACAGAATACCTTTTCCATATCAACAGATAGCTCAGCAAACCATTGCCTTGCATCCTTCTGCTGGACAACACAGGCCACATGTAGGCAAGCTGCAAAGATCAGGTGACACGAATAAAAATCCACTCTTGGTACAGGTAGAAACATTCTACTTTATTTATAAACACTATGCAGTTCAACAGAGAAAACTCGGGATTAATTATCTGATTTTTCTTCAAGACTTCCTAAGTTGCAAGGCTACGCTGTCAGCTCTGCATGAAACGCAAACTGAAGCACCTTACGGGGCACACTAAGGAATGCTTGTCGATGGGACGGGGCACAGAATACATCCATTGAAATGTGACAAGAAGCATTATTTGTGTTACTTACCTAGAGCTATCATGAAAGGAGGGTACAGCAGACAAAGATCAGTTCTATATGTGTCATTCACTATCCTCCTGTGCAAAGAAGAACTTGTAAGTATCATCCCATTCACTTTTAGAGTATACAAGTTCAAAAACTGCTGTCAGTTTATAAGCACTTTATCCCTTTCCCAGATGGCAGAAGCAGTGAGGCGGCAAGGCAAAACAGCAAGGGAAGAGATTTTTACCCCTGTAAGAATTCTTAAAGCCTTTCATTTTCTTCCTTGTACTCACAGCAGAAGTTTATATAGAAGCACTACTACCGTACCATAAATGTCTTTCTGCAGAGAGTGTTGACATATGCTACAATAATTAGCCCTGTTTCACAAGTAAGGGCAAGCATAAAAGTAGTATTTTTACTATTTTTCTGTCTCTGAGAAAGAGTTCAAAGATAAGAGTTCTGCTAACACTGCTCCTACCTCCTATGACAAGATACAACAGAAAGCTGACATTGATAGGAAAAGATTACCTCTACTCGTAGGCACCACTCAGTAGCACAAAAAACTGTGCCATTAGAGCTAGTCTAAAAGTAGAGCTAGTCTAAAAGTTGGACCACTGCCAAGTAAAATCATTACAGGTTTCAAGGCAGAATAAGCCAAGTCATGGACATATACCTGTAAAGGTTAACCAGGGCACCCTTTGTATTCAAATATGGCTAAGCCTGCCTTTGGAGCGTAACCATTAAATATTAGTTTTCTTGCCCAAAGGAGGCACTATTGTTAATCACCAAATTCATTACCATGCGAGAGGTAGCAGCATGTCTTCTTGGCCCATATCTTGCACATATTGGAGCAAAGGTCTATAAGGATGATATACTATCAAACAGCAGTCCTAGGAAAAATGTCAACAGGATAAGTTAGATTGCAATGCAGAGCGTGTTGTCAGTTCCTATTAAAAACATTTAGTTTACAAGTCAATTACTGATTATATTTTAAGTAGCATTCCGACACCTAACCCTGCTCTAATGAGGGCAGTGCTCTCTCTAGAATACCATTACATAGCATGGTTGCCAGTCTGTCAATGTTCTTCCCCCAAGAGACACAGAAAGCCACATCTGCAGCACACCGAAACCTCATTTGCTTACAAACCCGTAATTCCCACTTGGAAATACAAAAGACTGCCAGAAAACAGTCTGTCACTAAACACCATACATGGTAAGCATGCCAAAATAATTGACACTAGTTTGGAAAGAAAGAAAATAAAATTTTAAAAATCCACTGCTCTCAAACACCCTCTTTTTAGGCCCAGATTGGTGTAAACAAGACAGAACAACTTTCTGATTGAAAGCAGTCAACTGTATGGATACTATAAGGAAAAGCTGCATCCAGTTACATGTGCTGAACACTGAAGTGAGACGCAGTTATTATACGTACTATATATTGCGTAAAATACTGCAAAAATAAGTTAATCCCCAAAATGTAGCTTCTTGTAAATGCAGTTACTTGTGGTAAGACTCTTGTATCAAAACTCAAGAGTTAGTGTCACGCATAGCAGAGGTATCAAGGACTAAATATAAACAGGTCATTCAAAAAGGGGTTATAACTGTAGGCACAAGCAAAAATTGTGATCTGACCTCTGTGTCCTGTTCCTCACTTGCTGCCTAACTCACTAGGCTCCTCCCTGTTTTCTCTCTCCTTTTCTCTGCACTTGAGCAGAACTACTCCAGCACAGCAAGCTAACCCACCCAACTCCAACCAATATACAGAAATGAGGCACCACTTCACCTAAGCCTCCTAAGTAGCCTGGGCTGCAGTTTTTCAGCTGCCTGAAAAACACAGCAACGAGACAACCCCCCTTTTGAAAAGCAGGGACAGCTCCTTTCTTTCAGAGTGCCTGGAAGAAAATGTCACGTTGTGGTCCTTCCACCCAAAAGCCCAATAGTGACAGCACCATCTCAGAACATGGGAGGCCCTGAGTTCAGTTTCTTCCTACAGGATTCAAACCCACGTCTCCTTTCTTCGAAGATTACTCCAGTTCACAGGTTATAGACTACAACCACATCCCCTGCTGAAGCTGGAATGTCTATGTACAGCGCCAGATTCCTTCACGCATGAAGAGGGCATTGAAAGAACATAACTCTTTCTGCTCTTGACTGGTCATTCACCTGGGGAAAAAAGGCCACTGACATCCCAGTCTCTGCATCAGGACTTACATACAGTTATCTTTCTTTTAAAAACAGAAGCAGTTCTGGAAACAGAACTTTGCTTTACCCTTCCCACCAGTGCTCTAATCACTCGGATGCAGACCCACTGACACTTCTCCTGCTGCCACCTCTCCTGCAATCTGACCTCTTTCTGGTGAGAAGTCCAGCTTGAACATAAGGAGGTGAGAATGCCCTCACTAAGCCTAGATGACACTACAATAATGACAGCTGAAAATGTAAATGTTAGACCTCCATGGACATCATTCTAAAACTGGAGTGGTATTAAAAAAATATCCAAAACCCAAACACAAAACCAAAGCATAATGCATGTTTCATAGCACAAAATTCAAAATTTTCTTCATCAGTAAAAAGTAAACTCAGTCAATAGTAAAAAAAAAAATAAACCCACCTACCATTAATTCTAAGAGATAGAATTCACATTCTAGTATCTGCAAAGAAGTAAAATCACAGTTAAACAGCAGCATGTTTCAAAACAGCAGAAAGAATTAACTGGCATTCAGGCTGACAAGAATTCACAGGAATTCATCCTAAATGCATTTCATCTGAAACTACAAAACCAAACAAAACTCTGACTATTATTAGCCATTGTCTTACCACCATCATAACTTAACTCCAGTCATAATAACAATGCATTTAAACATTTTGGTTCAAGTTTAGTATGAAAAACTACTTCATTGGCAGTACTTGTCTGATTTGTTTCAACACCTGGCAGCAGCAAATTTTTCCCAGTATATAAACACTTAACAGCGACAGAGAAGTCCTACTGTAGAATTAAAGCCTCTTCATGAGGCCACTAACATGACAAGTGGCTCTGTAAAGTACCTCCAGATTTAATTTTATATGAAATACTCTGTCCAATTTTAGCGATTAAATCAGCTTTCATATCCCATATAGTGACACCAAGTAAAAGATTGGACTGCTTTGGCTACAGGAAAGCAGTATTCCAAAACATATTTCCATTTGCCTTTATCTGTAAAATAGCAGTGTAGTTTTATTGCAGGGTCTTAGAATTTTTATATTCTGATATATCATTTGGCTTTCTAGATTAAGGTGAAGAGCAAACCAACAAAAAAAGCTGATTTGATCAGCTGATCACAGCTGATTTAATAATAATTAGATCTGTTTAACTTTCAAAACACTAGAGTACAAGCCAAAACTGGTTTCAAGAAAAACTGCAAAATTTCTCAGCGTTGTGACTGAGAATGCCTTGAAAACCAGTGGTAAATCTAAATTTTAAAGAGTAAAATTATTTTTCAAAAGCCATTCAGTTTTATAGGCAAAAATAGAACTGCTTTCTGTAAACCAACTGCTCCTGTGTGCAAGCGTGGAAGCATCCAAGGTGCAAGGGCTATTTACTTTCCCTGAAGCAACATATTTGTAAGCAGGAACACTCAAAAAAAGCTAAATCTCTTTTATCTTCATACTATACAAAAATTACTATTTCAGTCACCCAGTTACGTCACTTCTCTTCACAGCACTCCTGTCAATAATGTAAGGAAAGGAGACTATATAAGATTTATTGCTTTTAAAAGTAACTTTCACAATAATTTATCCAAAACTAATTATGAGCAACCTGATACATGACTATGAAAACACTTCTGTCTTAGATTTTAAGAGACACAATTTCCTGCTAACAATTGTTTGTCTTTGAATATATCTGCTGCTATCCAATGAGCTCTGGACAGGCTAGAGAGCTGGGTGAAGGTGAACCTCATGAAGTTCAATAAGGACAAGTGTAGAGTCCTGCACAGTTATTCCTGGGGAGGAATAATGCCAGGCACCAGTACAGATTAGGGGATGTCCTGCTGGAAAGCAGCCCCATGGAGAAAAACCTTGGAGTCCTAGTGGGCAGTGAGTTGTCCATGGGACAGCAATGAGCCCTTGGGGCCACGAGGGCCAATGGGATCCTGGGGTACATTAAGAAAAGTGTGTCCAGCAGGTCTAGGGAGGTTCTCCTGCCCCTCTACTCTGCCCTGGTGAGACCACACCTGGAATACTGTGTCCAGTTTTGGGCTCCCCAATTCAAGAGAGACAGGGGCCTACTGGAGAGAGGCCAATAGAAAGCTAGGAGAATGATTAAGGGAGTTGAACATCTCTCCTATGAAGAGAGACTGAGAGAACTGGGGCTGTTTAGCCTTGAAAGGAGACGGCTGAGAGGGGATCTTATTAACATATACAAATATCTGAGGGGTGAGCGTCAAGGGAAAGGAGAAAATCTCTTTTCAGTGGTGCCCAGTAATAGAACAAGAAATAATGGGTTTAAGTTAGAACATAAGAAGTTCCACCTCAACATGAGAAGAAACTTCTTTATTGTGAGGGTGACAGAGCACTGGCACAGGCTGCCCAGAGAGGTTGTAGAGTCTCCTTCTCTGGAGACTTTCAAAACCCGCCTGGACACGTTCCTGTGTGGCTGCCCCAGGGGATCCTGCTCTGGCAAGGGAGTTGGGCTAGATCATCTGTAGAGGTCCCTTCAAACCCCGAACATTCTACGATTCTATGAAATCTGATTAAGGTGTATTTGGAACAGCATACTTACATGGTTCATCCTATAAGGAAACTCCTTCGGAAAGGCATACGAAAACCTAGTTTTCACTACAGCAAAGAGAAATCAGTATGTTAAAAATCTTGTAATTGATACTTTTACTTGTTTCCCTTTGTATTAATTCATCTGTATGTAACCCTTCAAATTTGGCAGCACAACTGCTTGCACTTCAAAACGTTTGTATTTGAAAGAGAAAAGTCTGGCTACGAGATTTAAGATCCTGAAAGAGAAACTTTCCTGAAACCCAGATCTGCACAGATACTCAGCCAGATGCTTGTCTGCTGCTTTGGCCACTACTATATCTTCTGGTTAACCTCCTTGCTTATGGACATCAGACTTTCCACAAGGTAACACTCACAGAGCTATCTACCTACTGATGTCCCTCCAAATTTGGTGATCTCTTCAGGACCTCAGTTCCAACACTGACTACCCTTGAGAGTGACACCGAAGCACCTGCTTAGGCATATGACATGATTCAAGACACCTGCCTCCAAGAGAACGTTCAAATATATCCGCACTTTTCCAGCTTAGGACGATCCCTGATTTACATACCTGATTATCCTCATGCATTTTACAAGGACAACAGGTACAAACAGTACACTGCTCAGAATTACGTCAAGTTGCAAAAAGAGAGCGATCTCAGAGTGCTGAGCAAGTACACTTGAGGATGTGGATTTGAGATCTGTACAAGTGGAACATTTAAAAATCAATCTGAAGTCCCTGTCCTCCAAGGAAAAGAGGTAACATTTAACGTCCTGGAAGTGGACAATATTCCTCATATTAATGACAGACAGTACATTATTAATCAATACTGCTTCCAGAAAATCAGCACGCCATTCACTTTGATGAAACGATAGTGTCAGTCCTCTGAACTTCAACATTTAGATATATAGTGCTGTAGAACAGTAAGACGGGGCTACTGTTTGGAAATTGGAATTATTTCAAGAAAGAGAAAAATGAATGACATAGGTTTCTTGAGAAGCATGCAAACTGCAGAGACACATGGAAAACAAAATAAACCAAAACACTTTGATGGGGAATACAGAGAAATGAAACATTCTTCCCACAAAGCAAGCTGCAGACACAGCCATTTGGAGCTGTCCTTTTAGTGAACTGTGGAAGCAGAGTGAAAAACTTTTGAAGGAGCTGAGATTACCAATCTGAGATTACCCTCCTTACAAAGAAAACATGGTACTAACTTTGTGTTTCTACCTAACTAAAAGCAAACAAACCTTTTCAGTAACCACTACTACACGAGTCACCCCTTTTGTTAGCTTTCTTCCACTTGTCTCACCTCATCTTTTTTCACCTTTTGTATGAAGATCTTAAAAAATTTGTTGTGTGCTACTGAAGCAACTCTCGTAAAGGAAGACCAGGTAGCATAAAAGACATAAATGCTAGGAGAAAGCTCATTTCTTTTTGTGCCCACTTCCATCAAATACAGAGTACTTATCAGGGCTTCTAGATCTGAAGGAAAAAATGGGTGGAGAGGAAACCTTTTGCAGGATTCTGAGACTTGGGATTTTTGGAAACAGCATAGCTCAGGTCTAGAAGATCGAGGAAAATCAGATACCGCATGTTTAACAAAACCCACCCAACTTTCTCACTGATGCATCAGAACTGCTACACAGATCTGCGCTTTGCTGATGTAAATATAGCAACTCTTCCTGCTAAATCCAGTACTGGTCTTGGTCATGCTGGCACTGCAGATGCATTTCAGTTCCTGGTGGTGGAATTGTCATTCGGCCAGCCCCGCAGACTGATGACAGACTTGCTGCATGTGGAGGCTACAGATGCGGCCAGTCACGTGTGCCCTCAACGGCTAAGAGGGATTTTGAAAGCGCTGACCTATGTTTTGAAGAGTACAGCCAGGAATTGGCTACTGAGAGCAGCTGGACCTCCTGGGTCAAATTATGGCATTCCGTTAAGGAAGCCATCACCTTAAGACTTCGATAGATGAGACAGGAGTTACAGGAACCGGGAAATATAAGTCAAGTGGGAAAGATAGAAAATAAAGTAACTACAGTGCCATTTTATTGCACTTATTTGTGAGCAATATGTAGGCTATGAAATGTAATTTCAAAAAATAAATATCGTGTGCAAAGACTAATTCTATGATGGGGCAAAAAATTATTAAAGAAAATTAGAAGGTGTACAGCCTACCAACAATTCTGAAAACAGGCAGTTCTATGGGGCCATACCTTTTAAACAATACATAAATAAAGCCCCAAGCTTCCAATTCCATCCTTGAGTAGTTCAGAATTCAATTTAATACTTGAGACTATTTAGAAACCTCAATAGTTTATTACGTTGTTTTTATTCATGCTTGGCATAAGTTCCAACCAGCATCAATCAAAACTAATACAGAAAGGACGCTTCTGTTTCTATACTTAGAAACACAAGTTGCTTATTATAAATGGCTTTAACCGCCTCCTGTCAGTCAACACAAAGCCCCCTCCCACGACTCCATAAAAAGCTACCTTTTAAAAAACAAGCAAACAAACAAACAAACAAAAAAAAACAAAAAGAAAATTTCTGATCTCTCTATAGAGATACCTAACTACAGCATAATAAAAATCATGGATACTTACATACAGAAGTAGCAGCAGAAATCAACCTTGTATTTGAAACAACACCAAATTCCTGAAGAAAAAGAATGGTAAATGAGGTGAACCACCTGAAAAAACATAGTCACACTGTTATCAAACTAAAATAACAGCTTCTTACTAAACTGGACTTCTTTATGCAGTATTTCTCTTTTTTTCTCCCACCCCTTTTTCTTTCCCTCTTTTTTTTCCCCTCTTAAGGTGGACAGGTTAAACTCTTATGTAAAGAGATTTTTCATTGATTAGTTACTTTGTTGTTAGAGTTGTAAGGAGTAGTAAACATTTATGAAAAGTACTTAAGCCAGAAAAGCTCAGTTGGCTAACACTCTACGTATAAAATAGACAGGAGGGCTTCAAGACGGTATGTTGTTTACCCTTAACCCACTTGGGACAGAAAACTGCCTTAAGAAACCTGTCACTAACTACCTTTTTTTATTTCGTTTCCACGAAGCCTTAGCTTCTCTGCTGCAACAGTCAGCAAGCTGAAAACTTCCTGAATGCAGTGTTCTGTCAGAGAAGTGTAGGGCTGAAGCAGTACTGCTACAGCTGCCCTCTAAAGCTGCAGAAGCTTCAGCATAAGGAAGGCTGCACAGACTTCTAGTATTTGTTCTAAACTAAAAGGTACGTCTGTATATGCCTGTGCTTTCTTAAGGGCTTAATTAACAAGCTGATTAAAAAAAAACCCACTCTCTCTGATACTCTGCATCTTTCTCCTTCATCTCTTCCAAACACCGAAAGGTACGACAGCGTTTGTACAGACAATAGTATCGCGTGTAAACACTGGTTTATTTAGTAGGGCTGCTTCTGCCATCCACTAGGTATTTGAGCTCCTCCTATCAAACTTGTAAGTGCCGACATATCACAAACTGGCCAATTTGGGTTTGGTTTTTTTGGTTTGGTTGGGGTTTTTTTCCATTAAGCAGACACTTCTCGAACAGCTGCAAAACCTCTTCCGTTACAGAGGGCTAAGAGCGCGACGAACACCGATGTTAACTCTCGGCCACGTTCAAAGTGTTCTTCTAACAGTGGAGACGTGGAGCCTGCTCACCACTACCCCTAACGGGCCAACTCCTGACATGAAATTTCTCAAGGACAGTATATGAGCTACAACACTTCTAATTCACGTCATGAAAGTGTGGTGAATTCTGAGGATGTCTCACTACACAAAAGGGAAAGGGATAATTAGGAAAAAACTTTCAAATTACGTTTTCAAGTTGGAACAAACATAAATAAGGAAAAATGCACCAGAAAGGAGACACTGCACAATTTAAGACACAGCGTATGTAAATAAGTAAACACTGTATTACAGTGAAACAGCCATTTAAAATACTTTTTCCAATTTACAGAGGCCCTTAAGGGTTAGTAATTGAGATAAAATTGTAAAAGATCAGATATTAAATAACATCTTTGAAGGCCTTCTCCAACTCCTTTTCTTAAATGCTACAGAAATCTACACAAAAAAGAGAAGGTTTCAATCCCCAAAGCATGAAGAATGACAAAAAATTTAAAAGTTCTAAACGTTTTCTCTTTCTCATACATCACATAATTTTACATTAAAAAATTGTAATACTTCATACCTCTACTTTGGATGCCAAAAACACACACGTAGGAGCCATTAATACTGGATCTATACTTTTTAGGGAATATCTGAAATGTTACAACAAAATTATAATATGTTGTTTCATACACGTAGAAAGATTAATCTATTAAGAGCACCACACTTCCTTTTGAAAAAGCAAAGCTTAAGTTAACGTTATCAGCATAAAAGCTTTATACCATCCAGAAAACAAAAGTGGCACTGTTTTTAATACAGAACTGCATTTTAAAAGGGCTACCAAAATGTGCCTAGCAAATGTTTTATTCTCGTACCATCATAGTAAACAGTCCTACCTGGCATAGAATCTCTTGAAGTAGACTGTAGCAGTGGCAATAACTTGTTGTCTTAATTTAAGATGTTCACCTAAAGCCTGGATAACTTAAAAAAAAATGAACAAAAGCTTGAGTTGAGTTTTTACAACAATTTGACACCAAATAGCAAAGGATCTCGAAACACGACTAGTGCTGGGGATTCTAAGGAGCAGCAGCACCGTCTCCTCCCTCAGTTCAGCAACGTTGCTCTGCTGAGAAAACAAGTTGCCGTAAACCTACAGACCTGCAGGCGACGAAGCAGCGCTGCATCCTGAAGCTTGTGGACACCTTCAAAAAGGGAAAGGTAACTTGACTTCATTGAGCACAAAGTGCTTACGACCTTTAGGAAGAGGACAATGCAAATCTCGGAGGGGCAAAGCTTGGGTAAATCTCCGCTTTAGAACAAAACAAATTTAAACACTTAAAGTGTAAGTCTCTGCCTTTTCAGTGCCACGCAAAAGAGATGGGTTTGGGTTGTGCTTTTTTTCAACCAACTAAAGCTGCCAACACAAACACGGTCATTAAATTTGGCAGAGGCAGCAGGTGTTAAAAAAAAAAATTGACATATTTAGTCTAGGGAGAGGGGGTGGGAGACCAGAGGATGCAGTCAGCTGCTCCATCATGGTGGTCCTCTGCCAGTTGGCCAAGGAACAACCCTGGTGTCATCTGTGCAGGTAGCTCTTGTTTGGCCTCCCAGGCAAAGGAAAGGTGCCAAGCAAATTAGATGCATCAAGCTGGGATTAAGAGCAGGGGTTGGACATAGAGAACGGCACAGTGAAACATAAGGTCGCTACTTGCTATTTCTCCCATCGTTCTTCGCGGCTGTTATTCTAAGCAAACCTCGGCTGTGTTAAGATTCCCTCTGCTTTTTTTTCTTCCCTCGTCAGAAATGTCCAAAGCAATGATTTTAAATACGCTTAAGCATATATTTAAAATATGTACAGCAAGATCGAGACAGCGACCATTGATGGGAAATGCAAACAATTTTGTTATCACTTATTGCTCATTTCTCAGTCTCTACTTAAGCACACAAGTCCAGATTTTTTTCACCATGCTCTTACACCGTGTCCCTTGGGAACAGTCTGGGTACACCCTGCTCTCACTTTTAATGAGCATCACAGCATTTTAAATCACACAAATATTAAGGACACTGTAGGCTAGAAAAGGGCTGAACATAGGAGATGAGGAAAAAAACCCACCGAACAGTAACGTTTCTTCTTTCTTTTTTTTTTTGAACTCCCCACAGGAAAAAGTAACTAATTTGTCAGCCACTATGACTACCTAAAGCAACAGTAAGTCCCTGTCCACGTCACATCACTTCTTCCCTAAAGAGAAGAATGCCACATTGAGACTAGCTTGCCAGTTGATAGTAGGACAAGCAATACTGCCAGAAAGGAAGTTAAGCCCAGTATGCAATGTCTGTACAAATATGAAAATACTTATCAGCATACACTGGGAGGTTTGAAAGGGTTCTTCCCCTTGATTTGACCATGGGGCTACAAAGCTGTGCTACTACTAGGGCATCAGAAAAAAAATCAAATATTAAGCTAAACAAAATTCTCCAAATATGTTTCTCGCTCCCATGGGATTTTCAGGAACGGTTAGGCCATCTGCTGTCAGAGAAAAAAATCAAGTGTGGTTTAGGGAAAAAAATGGACAAGAGCCTAGAGAGACTTAATGAAATGGAAGCTTGTATATGCTGGGAAAAAGTCCAATAATTTCAATTTAAATATTTTAAAAGAAACTATTGGATTTATTCCCTTATGTTTAGAAAATAAGTGGTTTCAGTGAGATTGTTTTTTTTAAATAAAAACCGTTTTAAATCTGAATACCTTGAGTAGTCCGTAACACAAACATTACAGTCTCTGCTCTAAACCTGAAAGGGAAATCAATTAATGTGGTCTTCAACCAAAAGCTTGATGAAGACTTGGTGATCCAAAAAGAGAAATCAACCTCAATTTCCTTTTTTGAACTATTTTAGAAGACGATAGCTTTCCTTCTCCACAATGTTAACATTCCGAGTAGTTGCACACGGCCATAAAATTACGACCTACTGAGCTTGTTTTCCAATGAGAAGGCAGCAGGAAACTGCCTCTCTCCGGGCAGGTTTTTTTGGTTGTTTTGGAAACAACTAGACACAGGTGAACGTGACAACCCACGGCCGAGATTCATATCCCTGCCCAGGTAACACAGAAGGTGAAAGAGAAGAGGAAGTGGCTCTATAAACCCAAAGTAGGGTCCCTGTTCAGGGGCGGCCAAGAAGACAACACACGTCGAGGACTCGAACACAGCAAGTTCTGCCTGAGCTCCCACCAGCACCGAGCAGCTCCTGACCCTCCTCCCTGTGAAGGTGCCTCTCTCTGCTACAGAAGGGCAGAAAATCCGGCATCGCTCCCTCCTCACGGGTCAACCACGTTGGTGGGCACACAAGGGAGATGCTGGCAGAGCTGTCTCTCCAGCTGCCGCGGGTCACACGCTGTGCCTTCAGGGAAGGTAAGGAGCGCCAGGGAAAAGGAGCCTGAGAACCACAGACTGAGACCAGCTTGTCTGCTTTGTAAATCTTTGTTTACTCACGAAAAACACTGAAGTGAAATATTTTAAAAAGCGTATTTCATATTTCAAATTAATAGGAGCGAAAATTAGCACAGCTTTAGCAGTATCAGTGTACCCCATTTTCTCTTTTTGCGTTATGAAGCTACGATACTTTAGTTTCAACCTCAGAGAACTTCTGGAATTGATTGAATAGGTAAATCATTGCCAGCTTGATTTCCTGGTGCTATATAAGGGGTAACACAGATGTATCCACAGCAAACAGATTTGCAGCACACAGTTATTATAAAAATAGCTAAATTAAGAGAGAAGCTGGGATAAGCATCTTTCACAGACATCATTCCAGCAGTGATGTAAGATCTGTCGGTGGCCTTGTGAAAGTCACTTAACTTCTCTGTCTCAAGTCTGGCCAGATAGCTGAAAAAATAAGCACTCTGTACTGTAAAGGACAGCTTCGACAAATATTTAAAGAGCTACCTGCAAACAAATTACTATTTGGCAATATCCTTTGTTTAGGCGGATCTTATCCAGATGCTGAACAATTGCACAGAAATGAGCTTAAGCACCTGCGTAAACCAATATGCTTCAGTGCAGACTTTCATATGGTTAAACGCTTTGCAGGATAAAGTAAGTCTTAGATAACTTCACAGACAAGCCACAAACTCTTTGTGAGAGCAGCCTGTCTGCCAACGGCTCCCAGAAACCTGTGGACAATTTTAGAGCCACCAGGTGCTGGGGAATCAGTTACAAGGCAAGACAGAGGCCGTGAGGCAAGTTTCAAAGAATGGAACTGAACAAAACCAGCAACCCTCCAAGCTTTGCTGTTTAAGAAGACTGCGCAGATCAGCTAAAATACTTACCACAGCCAAAAGCCCTACTGGTGTTCATTAATTGACAATTAATGCTTGACATTGAGCCTTTAACATGTTACTTTAGCAGCTTCTGCTTGCTGCTCTTCCTTTTATTTTTTTGGTAAGAACCTCTCCAAAATAAGAAAACATTTTGTCCCATCATAGGTTAAAACATTATACATGCGGGTAATTTGCCTGTATGTTCTCCTAAAGTTGTGTTAATACAACTAACAAATGACACTGTTGATATTCCAGTTCATTGTTAAAACAGGGTGCAAAAGTATATGTAATATGACGATGAAAACATTACATTCTCTACACAGTTCAACTGTGCATTCAGACACAGCAGATACTGTATGGGTTCTATGGCAGAAATAAAAATAAAACAGTTTTACCATTAGTAAAAAATATCTGTAGTTTCCAATACTCTTCTTCAGTCAGAAATTTCAAGTCTTTCTGGCGCTCCTTCAGTAGATCTTGTTTATCCAAAATCCATTGTAAACTAAAAGAAGGGGAAAGAATCATTGTGAACTAGAAGAAGGGGAAAATAATTTCAGCGGTAACTTTGTCAACATTGTACTGAGTGACTCCTGTATGAGACTGTAGGACTTGTGACCTTTAACCTGATTTAATAATGTTTTATACATTAATTATATCTATAAAAAGCTTGCATTACACAATGCTGCATTACAAATTTACAATCAATGCAGAAAGAAATGTAAACTCCACCACTAATTCATATGCAATTTCACCCTGCTAACTAGCACGACACAAATGACCTCCATTTTTATCTGTCCAAGTATCCACTCAAATACAGCTACAGGATGAACTGTAAAAATTCACTTCTAATGACAGGAGAGAATCACAGAACCACAGAATTGTTGAGGCTGGAAAAAGACCTCTGAGATCATCAAGTCCAGTTTATGACCCAACATCACCACATCGGCCAGACCACTGCACTGAGTGCCACATCCAGCCTCTCCTTAAACACCTCCAGGGACGGTGACTCCACCACTTCCCTGGGCAGTGCATCCCAGCGCCTGAGCACCTGCTCTGTGAGGAGGTGCTATCTAATATCAACAGACGTGTGAAATCATTTGAAAGTGATTAAGGTTAAAATCTTTGTACTGTACTAGTGTATTAAGCTAGTATATAGGAGAAGTTTAAAATTTACAGAATTAAAATAACAGTCCTCAAATTACTAGCAGTGGAAAGCTAATAATAAATATACAGAACTACAATAATATTATTATATAAACTAATAGAGGCCTTTCCAGGCCTGAGAGGATCATAGGTGGCATGGTTAAAAGTCACAAGACCTGTAATTCAGGAGTGTTTTCAAAGTCAGACATCTGCAAAGAAACAACCAACCAAACAAACAAAAACAACCCCCAAAAAACCAACTAGCAGGGGCTAAGATTAGCCCTTACCCGCAGTAAATCAAACCGGCTGTGCAGCTCCAGGGCACCGCCGGTTCCCA